CCCCCCCCCCCCCCCCCCGCCACACTCCATTACCTGCTTCCTTCTCCCAGAAAATCTAGGTGTAAGTTTCTTCTTTCTGGGGTTAGTTTCTGTAGCGGGTTGAATGGTGGAACCCAAAAAGGTATGTCCACGTCCTAACCCCACTCCACCCCTGAGAACCTGTGAATGTGACTTTATTTGGAAAACGGGGTTTTGCAAATGTAATTATATGAAGGATCATTCTGGATTATCGGATGAGCACTAAAGCCAATGACAAGTGTCCTTATAAGAGAAGGCCATGGGAAGACAGAGGCAGAGATTGGAGTCCTGCAGCCACAAGCCAAGGAACGCCTGGGGCCGCAGAAGGTTGAAGAGGCCGGGAAGGGATTCTCCCCTGCGCTTCCGGAGAAAGTGCAGCCCTGCCAACATCTTAATTTCAGACTTCTGGCCCCCACAACTGTAAGAATGAATTTCTATTTTTTAAGCCACCAAGTTCGTGCTAATTTGTGGTGGCAGCCCTAGGAAACTAATACAGTTCCCTACTCTGTAAAATTACTAGAAAGCTTCTAGGGATGCTTATGCCCGAGATTCTCCCGAATTAAACCTTATTTAGCAAAGAGGGGAGTTCCAGGTAGGGCCAAAAGGGGGCATTTTTTAACTCACCACCCCGCCCCCTTCCAGGTTGAGGTTTAACCCTTTCACTTGGGGGTGGGGAGGGCAAGGAGGAGGGAAGCCAAGTTAGCAGCATCACCTCCTGTTCCTCAGAGGAGAGTCCAAAAGGGTATTTTATGCCCACCAGCCCTGCCTCCTTTGCCCAGAGCTCCCGCCATCCTGCCCTCAGCTCCAGGCAAGTTGAAAGGGTCAAAGCTGACCGAACCACATTACCAAAAGCCAAGGAGCTTTTTAAAAACAGGGGCTCTGCCTTTCCAAATTTCTCCTCAAAAACATCATCCCCTCTTTATGGAGATTTCCTTCCCCCCCCCACCCCCCTCGTGCCTGCCTTCTTCCTCCCCTTCTCCATTCTTGGGTGGCAAGCTGAGATAAGATACCCCTGAAGCCCAGGAAGGAAAGGCACTCCCTCATCCCTCTCCCTCCTCCCCACAACACAGCTGGAAGGGGGAGGGGAGGTCAGCAGGGTTCATAAAGGCCAGATGTTAAGGGAAAAAGAGCAGCGCCCACCCTACGCCCACTTTACCCCACCCCCATCCTCACCCCCCAGGGAAAGAAAAATGAAAGGAGACGACAGCTTTTAAAACAAACAGAACTTTTGTGATCCAAAACAGTTTTTCAAGAATCTGTTCTATGCAAACAATAACAACTTTTTACAAAGCATTTTCACAGAAAAGGAGACAAGTCCTTCCCCAGGGTCGTACATGGGAATCATTCCTCCCTCACCCCGTTTTGGGGGAAAAGAGGGCGCTATTCACTAGTGCAGGCAGAAGGGTCACCGGGTCCCTCAATTGTTGGGCAGATTCAAAACCCCCAGCTTCCCTTCACACCTCCACTTGGAATCTCCCGACCTAACCTCCCGTGACCTCACCTGGGTGGAGAAAGCAATTCCACCCATCTCTGACTCAAGAGGATCCTTCTAGCTGGAGGGTGGAGGGCCCGATCCAGGACTATCTCTCCCCTCCCCTGGAAAACAGAACCTCTGACCCCAAACCTAATCCCCAGGCCCTGCCCCCTTCAGATCCATCAGATCCCTGACAACTCCTGAAATGCCTGAGCCTGGAAGGGGGAAGCAGAAGGTACCTTAGCCCAGGTCCCATCCAAACTCAAACTTTGCCCCTTCAAGCCCCAGGGGACCCTAGTGGGTAGGCCAAGAACCTTTTCATTTGCCCCCTCAGCAAAGAGCAGCTTGTTTTTTCTCCACCCTTTAAGAGGGCTGGATTTGGGTGGCCAAAGAAGGTAGTCAGGCCTGCCCTCCACGCCCTCCCATCCATAAATCGGTGGAGAGGACCTCGAAAGGCGACTCGTTGGGTCTGACTTTATTGATTTCTTCCACCTTCCATTACTTTCCCTGGGAGGTCCAGGCAAAGTCTGAACTTTCTAAGGGGAGGAGGTCCCTTAGCCCTGCCCCTCTTAGCAAACCGGAGTAAACTGGGGGAGGGGCTGATTTCCCAAGGTCGGGGGGGGGGTCTCTTTCACCCATAAGCCCTTATAAACCGAAAGCAAACAAGGAAAATTGGAGAGGGAAACTCCAAAACTGGACAAAAGGGAAAAGTTGGTGGCTAAGACTGAAGATCTCACCAATTAGGGGCCTAGGGAGCGAACCGGAAGGGGGTGATCTTCCCCGTGCCCAAACTGCTCCGTCCCCCATGAAGCCTCTGGTGGTGCTGGGAGCGCTAAGGAAGGCCTGAGGAAAGCGAAGGGTTAAAGGTCTGAACGGTGGGGGTGGGGGATGCCCCCAGGGAGCTGCCAATCACCTCCCCACCCCCTCCACAGTTCCCACAGCCCCCACACCCCCAGGCTAGCCCACAGACACAGAAACACAACCGGTTTGTCCATCACCAAGGTCTTCCTCCCTTTTTTTTTTTTTTTTTTGGTCTGAGCGGTGGCCTCCTTTGCTCCCACTGGGGTTAAGGCCCTGCCCCCAGAGATCCAAGATGGAAGGAGGGAGGGATTGGAATCTATGTCATTCAGCCTTTTTCGGTTAAGCCTTCTCCTTACTCCAGCTCCTGGTTCCTCTGCAAACGATGGAGGGGAGGGAATGTCACTCCGACCACTTAGGTGCTTGAAGATCACTGTCATTTGAGGTCCTTCTGCCCACAGCCCATAAAAGTAAAGGAAGGGAAAAGGCAAATGTGAGAAAACGAGGCTCTTTCCTCGAGCCCGCAGTTTGGCCGTGCCCCAACTTTTTCCTTTTGGCAAAACAGATCTCACGCTCAGGAGTCTTCCAAGTTGATTCCCCAGAATTTGAGGCCAGGGGGCTCAGGGACAGCGGGACCCCCAATCTGCCACCTCCACAGCGGGTGGGCAGGCGGAGGCTTAGAGTCTCCCTGGAGGCGAAGCGAGGATGCCGGCCCTAAGTCTCCGTCCTCCCCCACCACCAGGGCCGGGGGGCAGGGGAAGCAGTCGAGGAGGCTGAAGGTGCTGGTGGTGGGGAGCGTCGGGGCGGGGCGGCG